TCTGCCCGCCGTGCTTGCTTGTCATCCGTGACGTCCTGGTCTTCACCTCCCTCATGTTGCACCTGGCCGCTGATGGTGCTCACCAGCTTCTCATCATATTTCTCGCGGTCACGCTGCTTGCGTTTGAGGCCCTTGTCAGTCTGGGTCTCTTGATGTGGTGCTTGGTTTCGAGCTGCTCCCTCCAGGCCCTAGTGCTTGCAGCGCGAGTAGTTGCCGTCTGATTCTGATGTGGAGGCCAACATGCGGTCGCCAAGGTACTTTGGTGACTGCTTCCACCTCTGCTAAGAAATGCCTGAAGGAGGGGGGGCAGATGAGGCAGTCGAGGACCCTTCCATTGCCACTGGAGCAGGTTGCCGTGCCACTTGTTGGTACCACCGGTTGCGCCTGCAACTTGGCTGCCCATGGTAATTGCAAGCATTCTTGAGGGGTTACGTTCCACTCTCCGGTATCAGACCACGGCGTAGAAATACTCTTATCTGCTTCATCTTGGTCGCGTTGGTTCCCCTCAGCCCTTGACCACTGTCCAGGTAATAACAAACATGATGATACGTACTTCGCCTTTGAGATCCCAGCACGCCTCTGAGATATCCATGAGTTCGCCTGCAAGGGTATGTTCGCCTCGTATCGTTGGCACATGAACTGAAGTCTGATGTCGCGATCGACGAAGCCAGCATACTCTACCGTGGGTCCCGCTGGTCGATCTCCCGGTTCTGGTTGCCGCTGTAGATGTGTGCTAGGACGCCCAGCCACGTTGCTGCAGCCGCTTTGCTTCGTTCTCTGCTTTTGCCTTGCTTAGGTGGTGCTCGACAAGGCCCACGATGTCACACGTGGATTCTATGATAAACTGGCGAACTGATGTATTGCACTGCGTGATACTCCCCACGAATATGCCGCCATACCTCCCCGTATCACCTGCTGGCTTATCTCCTTCATGATGTGCGATCTCGCACTCCGGATCCTGAAGCCGAACTTTGCCACCCTCTCTACCCTTTGTTCGCCGCCGCAGCTTGTCTCGGGGCTTGGGGAGGGGTAGCCGCACCTGCAGGACACGCCGTACGACTCCTCTCGTGGATGCGCTTGGTGTGCTCCAGGCACTTCTTGGCATGCTCCTCACTGGTGAAGTCGTAGCCTCCTCTGGGCAGCTCGCCACGGTCTCGATCAGCGGGCCCGGCCTGGCCCTCCGAAGCTGCCAGAGCAGGTTCTCCATCCGCTGCCCCTCGCGTCGATGCCGCAGCCTTCGCGCGGATGCCGTCGAGCCGCTCCTGCGCCCGCTTCCTCTGCAAGGTAGCTTCTTTGGCTGCTTCGAGGGTTTGCTCGGCCTGCTGAGCCTCCTGTCTGGCCTTCTGGTGCTGACCATTCTCCTCCTCGTCGAGCAGTTGGAGCTCCTCAAGGTCCAACTATGGGCAGTCCTCTTCTGGCTGCTGTCTGTGTTCGTGGCCTCTGGCGCGGTGCCTGTCGCCGCCGCCCATCCATCGACGTCCAGCTCTGCCTGCTCCCGCGCCTCCGCGTTGGCTGCCAGCTTCTCCAGGAACTGTTTCTGCTCCTCCGCGTTGCGTTGGAGGCGCTTCCTGAGCTTGATGCCCGCAGCCTGCACTTGTCGTAACTCCTGGGCTGCCGTCTCCAGGGCTTCACATGGCGTAGGTGTCGGCGTCGGCTGGGGTGTTGGGGCCGCCAATTGCGGGCAAGTCAGTTCCAACTGCGCAATCTTGGATTCATCTAAATATTTCTTGGCCTTTCGTACTGGTCTGCCAGCACCAAGAGCAGCAGCTCTAACTGATTGTCGGTCTTGTTAAGTGTCGGTGCCGTGCTGCCAGGTCAATTGTCATTGCCTGCAGTCGTGTGCCATGCCAACCCGCACATGACACACGACGTGCAGCCCTTCTCCTTGATGCGATCGCGATAGATCCAGCTAGTACCATCAGGACAAGTGGGATATACCAGATACTGCCTCCCCATCCTGGAACTGGCGCGTGCTCGGAACTTCTTCGTATTGTAATTGGCGCACGCTCGGAATGCAGCACGGCTTCCTCGCCAAGGGGGCTGCGGAGCCAGGTTGTTAGCTTCGTCGTCGTTCTTGCTTCGATTTTTGCCACACCGATCAGGCGTGCCCCTCAAGCCGCTGGCACGCCTCGCGTCCTGCCGCTGGGCAGGAGGCGGACGCACGGTTCGCACGAGACAACGGGCTCGGAAGAGAGTCCGCCGTTGCAAATTCTCGAGCCCCATTGCTTGGAAGTAGGGGGGGGAGGATGGGGAGGGAGGGGAGGGGAGATAAAGGGAGGGACGGGGACAAGTGTGAGAGAAGAGGAGGAGGAGGAGGAGGAGGAGGAGGAGGAGGAGGAGGAGGAGGAGGAGGAGGACGAGGAGGAGGAGGAGGAGGAGGAGGAGGAGGAGGAGGGAGGGAGGAGGAGGAGGAGGACGGGGGAGGGAGGAGGGAGGAGGGAGGAGGGAGGAGGGAGGAGGGAGGAGGGAGGAGGGAGGAGGGGGGGGGGGAGGGAGGAGGGAGGAGGGAGGAGGGAGGAGGGAGGAGGGAGGAGGGGAGGAGGAGAGGGAGGAGGAGGAGGGAGGAGGGGGAGGGAGGAGGGAGGAGGGAGGAGGAGGAGGGAGGAGGGAGGAGGGAGGGGGAGGAGGGGAGGAGGGAGGAGGAGGGAGGAGGGAGGAGGGGAGGGGAGGAGGAGGGAGGAGGGAGGAGGGAGGAGGAGGGGAGGAGGGAGGAGAGGAGGAGGGAGGAGGAGGGGAGGAGGGAGGAGGGAGGAGGCGGAGGCGGAGGCGGAGGCGGAGGAGGAGGAGGAGGAGGAGGCGAGGAGGCGGAGGAGGCGGAGGAGGCGGAGGAGGCGGAGGAGGCGGAGGAGGAGGAGGAGGAGGAGGAGGAGGAGGAGGAGGAGGAGGAGGAGGAGAAGGAGGAGGCGGAGGCGGAGGCGGAAGCGGAGGCTGGGGCGGAGGCGGAGGCGGAGCGGAGGCGGAGGAGGAGGAGGAGGAGGAGGAGGCGGAGGAGGCGGAGGAGGCGGCGGAGGCGGAGGAGGCGGAGGAGGCGGAGGCGGAGGAGGAGGAGGAGGAGGGGAGGAGGGGGAGGAGGGGGGGAGGGGGAGGAGGGGGAGGAGGAGGAGGAGGAGGAGGAGGGGGGAAGGGACAAGCTAGGTGCGCTCGCGTCATATCTGGCATCCGACCCCTCCCTCCCATCCCTTACCATGGCGCAGATCCCCTCTCTACTCGCACAGTCGGATGTCGAGCAGGGCGATGTTCCCGAAAGGGTACGCGATGCATTGTAGAGCACGGCGTGGCATGGCGTAGAAGAGCACCGCGAAGCGTAGTATCAACCTAGCATTGCGTTGCATGCCGTGGCATGGCGCGGTAAACGACGCCAGCGCTGCAGCGGGAGCACGAGTCGAAACGAGCGGAAGCGCGGAAATGAGGCCAGCGCTGCAGCGGGAGCACGATTCGGAACGAGCGGAAGCACGGAAATGAGGCCAGCGCTGCAGCGAGAGCACGATTCGGAACGAGCGGGGCCCGAAAATGAGGCTGGCGCCTCAGCGAGAGCAGCATGTTGGGAAAAATTGCAAGCGAAAACCTAATTCCGGGGAAGGCTTCGGCGCCAGAAGCAGAAATTCAGCATTTTCAAAAGACAAAATTGTATTGGAATGGCCTTTTTTCGGCGCCGCCTCGGAGCTCGATTTTCCGGCGCCGGCCGGAACCGGCTCCGGACGCGCCGGCTCGGGCGTCCGGCCCGGGCGCCGGCTCGGGCGCCGGCCTGGGCGTCGGAATCGGCCCGGGAGGCCTCCCTGGGCGCCGGAAGCAGAAATTCAGCATTTTCAAAAGAAAAAATTATATTAGAATGGCCTTTTTTCGGCGCCGCCTCGGAACTCGATTTTCCGGCGCCGGCCGGAACTGGCTCCGGGCCCGGCCCGAGCGCCGGCCTGGGCGCCGGCTCGGGCGTGCAGCCCGGGCGCCGGCGGAAATGATGCCAGCGCTGCAGCGGGAGCACGATTCGTAACGAGCGGGGCCCGAAAATGAGGCCTGCGCCTCAGCGAGAGCAGCGCTTTGGAACAAAATGCAGGCGAAAACCCAACTCCGGGGAAACCTGCGTGTAAAAAAACAGCACACGGGGGGGCGAATATTCACAAGACGTTATCAGGGGAAGAGGGAGAGTAGTATTCATATTGAGTAATTGTCGAGGAGGGGGAGGAGGCGGGGGAGGAGGCGGGGAAGGAGGCGGAGGAGGATGAGGAGGAGGAGGAGGAGAAGGAGGAGGTGGAGGAGCAGGAGGAGCAGGAGGAGGAGGAGGAGGAGGAGGAGGAGGAGGAGGAGGAGGAGGAGAAGAAGAAGAAGAGAATAATAAGGAGAAGAAGGAGGAGGAGAAGAAGGAGGAGAAGAAGGAGAAGAAGAAGAGGAAGAAGAAGAGGAAGAAGAAGAAGAGGAGGAGGAGGAGGAGGAGGAGGGGGTCCGTCGACAGCCTATTCTTCCCTTGGAGGCTTTCGGAAAATCAAGGGACCTCTGGGAGACCTTCACTCGTGGAGGATCAGCTTGTGGAGGGAGGATCGCCGGGCGGAGAAAGAAGGAGGGAGTCGCGGGCCTGCAATCGTTTGGAGCTGGCAATCAGCAGGTGATGTTTTAAACACTGGTGTGTACCGAAAAGGTTAAGCAACAATGGCAAGCCCTGATCACAACAACTGCCTGAAGGCACATCGAACTAAAGTATGCCAGTCTCACCCGCATGCGCAGATCCACCGGCAAACATTGTTCCGGACACTGCCAACTTAAGCGCTGATAGCAACCCCAAATACAGTAGGATGCAACCGATGGTGTTCGAATGCGTACGTGCATGTTCATTGGAGCCCAGTGTTGACGTCAAGCCAGACGTGGTATGCAAATCGCCTTCCACACTACGAGTTGCGGCTGTTATGTTCCAAAAGCATGAGGAGGAGGAGGAGGAGGAGGAGGAGGAGGAGGAGGAGGGAGGAGGAGGAGGAGGAGGAGGAGGAGGACCTGCATACCGCAGCCGCCAGGCCCCAGTCGAGCCAGTCGACGCTGCGCTGGAGCTGGCTCGCGAGCGAGTGACTGCAGCAGAAGTTCTGCGGCAACCGATGCAGTTCTGCTGCGACCACTTCGACATTGGCTGCTCCCTCGTGTCGGCGCCTCCCTCTCCTCCCCCTCCTTCCCCTCTCCAGTATGATTATCCTCCCCTCTGCCTCCCTCATGGTCCCCCTGTCTCTCTCTCTCTCGCTCTCACTCTCTCTCTCTCTCTCACTCTGGGCGGTCGTTTGGATGGTGTTGGGGCCGTCTAGGGGCGTCTTGAGGCCGTCTTGGGCCAGTCTCGGGCCGTCTGAGGGCTGTCTTAGAGGCCATCTAGGGGGCTCGGGCTGTCTAAGGGCCACCTGGGGGGGAGGCTCGGCCGTCCGGGGGTCTTTTCGGGGCGTCTTGGACCCTCTCGTGTGTGATTTCACCCGCTTCACCGCCCACGCCAAGAAAGATGTCACGGAGCTGTCGCACATTGATTTCGGAGCCATTGCACCTTTGAGGCCTGCTCGGCCTCTGCACAAGGCCTCCCAGGGCTCAAAGATGTGCAACACGAAAGATGATGCTTGACCAGGGTCATGGGGCTGGCTTGGGTGTTTCACGGAGCCTCCCAGTGTCAACAAACTTGCATTCGAGAATTAGACATAATCACGTTGGAGCCCAGGAGCCTAAACAGTACTCCAGAATCTAATGGGGAGCATTTTGGAGGGCAGGTTCCATCTTCCATACGAGCTCCCTTCTTCCAGGCCCCACTATCGATTCAAGCTCTTCTCTACCAAGGCTCAACGTTGAGCTCACGGCGTCGAGGACCTCGCTGCGTCATCCTCATCTTCATCCTCCTGTTCCTCCTTCTCCTTCTCCCGTGTTTCCTGCTCCTTGTCCACACCCTCCTCTTCCTCCGTATCTCACTCGCACTCGCCTGTTTCCCCTCCTTCTATTCCCATTCCTCTCCTTCTCAAGGCCCTGGTGATGTGGGCAGCTGTCAGCGGCGATGTGTCTTGTCGAGAACATGCTGAGAGTTGGAGAGAAAAGAGGTGGGCTTGCGAGAGAGACCCTGATGAGAGACTGACAAGCCATATTCGCACTGATCACACCTCGCCGAGCTGACTCCTGGTTTCTCAGCTCCCAAGACGACGCCGTGAAAGGCTGTTCTAGCCAGAAGAGCCTGGCCTTCGATATTTGATATTCGGCAACCTGAGCGCACAATCCTAAGAACAGAAGACCCTCCCTCTCAGTCTGCGTGAGCTTATCTGGACTCATTCGGTGCCAGTTGCTTACTCGGGCGACACTGAACGCAGTGCAGGGGGGGTCATCAAAACAATCTCAGGGCGATCTGACTCCAGCGTTTCCCACAGCTTGCGACGATCCTGGGCCTTGCGAAAATCAAAGCCCGTCTTCAGGTCCATGGCCTGAGACACCGGAAACCCTCTCCGGCTGAGCTCCTGGGAGACCCGAGGGGGAGAGAAAACCTCAAGGACCTGAGTGCATCTCTTCTGCTTGCATCTCTCGATGAGTTGCTTGCGAACCTTCCTGTGAGTGGCCCGAATGCTGGTGCCCTCGAACGTCTTAAGCAAAGCATCCCTAACTTTTCGAGGAACCTGAGCCATGGGAGTGCTGAGAGGACGATCGAAATGGACTGGGGAGGAGACTAAGGCCCAAGACGACGGAATCCGAGGGGGAGACCGACTAGGATCCTCTAAGGCCCCTGTGAACTTCTCTTGCTCGACTGCTGTCCCGAAAGCTAGGGGTAGTTCGCCAAGCTCATCTGAGGCCGCCTCCCAAACTTCAACTCGTAGCTGTCGACGCTGAGCTCCCGAGAGGGCCGAGCTTACGCCCGGACGGACAGTCCACTCCATAGACGATCGAGGATGACTTGATGATGAGACGGTTTGTCATCGTCGATGCTGATCCCGATCTGCACCCTGGCGACGTCGGCCGGTAGTCCCAGCCGGGTGCTAGGAGAGCTGGCACCTGCGATCGCGAGGCGCACCAGAAACGATGCCAGCTCGCCCGACTCGAGCTGGCGCTTCGTCCAGCCCGCCGTTTCTGAAAGATGATCAAAATCGATCGAGCTACCATCTGAAGTGTCCCAGACTCCGAAATGTCGTTCTCGATCGTAAGGAACGGGAGCCCCCTTGAATCTATTCACGATCGTAGAGACAGATCGCATTGAAATCTTCTGATCTCTGGCCGTGCCAAAACGATCCTGAACGTCCGATAAGATCCGATCTCTAGCCTCGTGTCGGAGGGAGGCTAGCGTGAACATCGTAGGACTCAGCGCCTCACTTCGCTGAGTACCTTGCGCATTGCCTCCTCCATGGCCCTCACATTCTCGGTGCGCACCTCCTCGATGATCGCCTCGCGGATCTCCTGCACTCCCTGGCGCTCCTGAGCAAGTGCGTTCCTGATGCTGTCCATCATGTTGCTGACGTCCGCGTGCGTGATCCTGGCCGAGGGAGGCGGTTCGAGCATCCTGACCAACGTCCCGCTCGACGGAGTCTTCGGTGGTGACTTGTACCCGACCAAGTGAGGATTTGCTGGAGGTGACTTCACCGCCGTCGCGCGGGCCGTCGAGTAGGAAGTGCACGGAGGGGCCTCGTCGATCACCTCCAGGTCCCCTGCCTGAGCCTTGGGGGCCTTGACCTTGGGGACTGCCCCGAGAGTCCTCGAGATCGGCATCGGGCGGGTGCGGTAGGCTGGGTCGCGCGGCTGTGGCTCCGGCTCCATCTTGACCTCCAGCTTGGCTCTCTGGGCACGTATCTCGGCCTGCATCCTGATGGCCTCGCGGTCCTTGCGCTCCTTGTCCCGACGGCCACGAGCCTGAGCTGCTTCGAAGATCTCCTGAGGGGTCTTGCGGCGGATCCAGAGACGGGTTTTGCACACCTCGCAATGGCAGTAGTGAGCGACTCCATTCTGGCCGGTGCGGCGGCGGTGTACTGGATGCTCGCACGTGTCCGGAGTCACGTTGGGGTCCTCGTCTTCGAACTGGTTCGGGTCCACCACCGGCGACAGCGCGGTCATGATCCGCGAGCTGGCGCACACGTTGAGGAACACGATCGTCTTGAGAGAGACGCGGCGCCAGGCCATGGCAGCCTTCTCGATGATGTAGCGGCCCTCGAAGAACATCTCCTTGTCCACAGGATCGAGCATCTCGTCGTACACCAGATGCTGGAGCTCCGTGTCGCGCCACGGGTCTGGCATCTCCTCCCAGTTCTCGGCCATCTCGAGATCCGAGCTGCCCTCCTCCTCGACCTGAGAGAGGCCGTTCACCACCTTGCTCGTCCGGCGCCGCAGAGCCGACAGTGAGCGAGGTCCTCGACGTAGCGGATGCACCGTCGAGTTCGCCTTCCTGATCGCCCGTGCCGGCATCGATTGCCTGACTCTGAGAGTTATCTGACTGACTGAGTAGACTTGAGGGCTGGCTCTCTGAGTCGCCAGCCCGGCTCGAGCCTAGAGTAAGGTAGTGACGGCGATGTCCCATCTAGGGCCCTCGAATCGTGGACCCGCTGTCGAGACATAGAGAGAGAGACGGAGGGAGCGAGGAGATCTGACTAGCGAAAACAGCGCCCTGTCCCTCCCTACGGTCCTGCATGACGAAGGGCGGGAAGCGCTTGGCGAGGTCGTCACTGAGCTTGAGATCCTCGGGCGGGCAGCCCACCAGAGATACTGCACGATGCCCTGACGGCAGGCGATGCAGCTCCAGTTCTCGACGACCATCGCCGGCCCCGACCGACATCGTGTCCATGCTCATGTCTACCTTGGCCTTGAGAAACTCTAAACACTTGGCGGGCAAGAGGGGTGGGCATGCGTGTGGTAATATACAAAATTCCACCACCCCACATCCGCACATCGTGACAGGCACCGAAGCTCGCCCCACCGGCTTGACTTTGCCTCCAACTCCGCAGGCCGGAGGAAGATCAGCCACGTCGTAGGACACGTGAACTTCGTAGCCGATGTGGTTCAGCACCTTCCTGAGCTTCTCGAGATTCGGCTCTCCCACCAAAGCTGATCCCGCAGCAGTGTCCACGAGAGCGCAGTCCATCAGGTTGTCCAAGGTCAGCTCCCGCGAGACCTCGGCCAGGACGAGCTCGAGCTGCTTGGCGTCGTCGGGCAGCCACGCGCCGCCGACCAGATAATCGACGCACGTCTGGCACTCGTCCTCGGTCACTGCGAGGCAGGTGGGGCCGTCGAAACCGCGCACGTTGAAGTAGAAACTGTTGGTTTTGTCCGGCTTCGACTGCGGCTTGCTCTCCTCCTTGAGTCTGTCCTCCTTTGACCTGTAAGCGTTGCGGCAGTCTTCTTTTCAATGGCCCTTCTGCCCGCAGTTCGTGCACCTGGATCTTTTCTTTAGTTCACCTTTGCCAATTTTCTTGCCACGGCGTCTGTCGAAGAAGTTTCGATCTATGCGACGAGCATTCTTCATGTCCTTTGATTCTTTCCAGGTGCGCTTACGCCTGGTCTCCACGAGTTGGGCAAAGACGTGATAGGCTTCATCCTCTGTGAGGTCCTGCTGATCTAACGCTATCAGAAAGCCGTCCGCCTCGGACTCACTAAACTCGGTCTCGAAGAGATCCACGACGGTGTCGGCCTCCGCCGCGAACGTCGTCTCTTCCTCTTGTTCCTGCATAAATGTCCTTCCTGGAGGCCTGGACGAGGTGGCCGCTGTCGGAAGCACAGCCTGACCGCTCGAAACGTCCAGATTGAGAAGAGCAGCTTTTATAGATAAGAAATCCTTATTTCCAGAAGCCAGTGTTGCAAGATTGATTCGATTTTGATGAGAAAGCATTGCTCCTTCTTCGTAATAGCGAGCCTTGATGGAGTCTGTGAGAGTGAGACCCGCACTTTCTGCCTGCAGCATTTGTCCGTCGCGTCTTATCACGTAATCTGTCAGGCTTTCGCCCTTCTTAATAACATAGTCGAATAGTGCTTCGTTTTGCATCTGCCGATCCTTGTCGCCGGGTCTCTCTCCTGACAGCAAAGTCAAGTGATCCACTAACTTGTCGAGTCCGGACTCCGTGGCGAGGGATAATCTGATGGTCTTAAATTTGGCCTGGAGCTCGAGAGGGAATGTCTCAAGCACTCGATCAGCTTGCAGACTGGTCTTCAATGCCGTCCTGCGCGTCCATGCCCGCAGGTTGTGAATGTATATGTCTAAGTGCTGCATGCCGGGCCAGGTCGGCGGGGCTGAGTAGTCCCTGGACTTCTCCTCTTCCCAAGAACTTGCGTTCCACGACCTGGACCACCACGAGCTGCTACCACCTCGGCCATCTCGATATCGGCCGTCTTCATCACGTCCTGGCTCGTCCTTGAGCCTACTGAGGTCGGAGGCGTTGTCCTTCCATTCGACCTTCTTCCAGTCCTCGGATTTCCAGGAGGCCACGTCCTCTTCGGTCTTGGAGCTCTGCCACCAACCAGGCGACCACTCCCACACAAGTTTGGCTGTCCAGCCCCATGCCCCGGAACTCCACCAGTCCTGGGCGTCGGGCTTGTCGTCGGGCTTGTCGTCGTGCTGGCCCGCGTCTGGATGGTTGCCGCCCGACCCTGCAGCCCCGGAGCTCGCTGGAGCTTCCGCGGGTGGGTCTGGAGGCTTGTCGCCTTCTGGACCGGTCTCCACGAACGCTCCATGACCTGATTGCCAAGGGTCAAAGCCGTGAAACCACGGATCTGACGTACCTGAATCTGATCTTCCCCAGGTGGTTCGGGAGCCGGGTTCCCTGTACGTGCCAGCCGTCCTGCTGGGTGCCCTGGAGCGGGAGAGATCTAACACCAAGGATCTTCACTAACCACGCTCCGCTTACCACTGTCAGCATCGCGAGACATCGTGCGACCGATACGATGATATGTTTCAGACTCCCTCACTCGAGAGCACCTGTAATGAACATGCTGGCTAAAGCCGGAACGGCTACGTACAGAAACGGACTATACAATGTCTGTCACATGCTGGCAACAAGCGCACACGACTTAGGGGGAGTGGGCAAGGAGAGACAACT